CGAAGTTGAGTAGCAACTAATTAATTAGTTATAAAATCACAGACAACACAGTATATATTATATATTATAGTGTGCAGTAATAAATTAGTATTTTAATATATTATATTTCGATATTACAGTTTTACTTACCGTTAAACACATATGTATATGTATATATACACTCTTGAATCAAATCCATTTTTCTTCACAGAAAATAAAACATATGCACTTCAGAATACACTTCAGATTACACACATTAAAATACATTAATTATTTTTGCAATATAATTGTTAAATATTATAATCAAAATTCAAAATATGTGTCGATATGTGTATTAGGGATATAGTTGTATAACGCGATATCTTTATACGTTTATAAAAGAAAGTTTGTGTAATCATTTTATAAACAATGAAAATGTACTTAGCTCAATATGATTAAAAATAAATAATAAAATATGTTTATTAATCGTATATTTTACTTGTAAAATCATGTGTTTATATTATTGACGTTTTAAAGATATAAATTATACCATTTATACAATGAAATTTTCTAAATATTTATAAATAAATTTTTTTTTCATAAATTATATACGTTTTAAATAAACATTTCTTTGATTACGTAGACATACGATTTTAGGAAATAAAATAGACGTAAGTACATTCGAGAAATTAAACCTTTCTTTTTATATAATTCGAAAATTACATATCCCCGCAGAGTTCGCAATCTACTACTAATACTATCCTTCTCCTCTCACTTTAACCCTTTGGACCAACGGTTCTTTCCGAAAGACGAAGCCCAGTTTTCTCTGCACAAGAGCCTATCTTGCACGGAGGGGCGCAGTTATCGGAAAAACATTCCATGCTTCATGGCTCTAGTAGACTCGAACCTGGTTCCTCAAATTACGAGTCTGGCGCTTTACCACTAGACCACACTGCCGCCCCACCTTTTTCTTTATAAATTTATATACTATTTTTTAACGCATAAAATACGTTTTGTATTATACAAACATAATAAAAACGGATATCAGTATCGTATATTATACGATTGTATATAAACAAATATTTCGTATACACATATACTATTTTTCAACGAATAAAAGAGATTTTTCTCATAAATTATATACGTTTTTAATAAACGTTTCTTTGATTACATAAATATACAATTTTAAGAAATAAAATAGACGTAAGTACACTCTAGAAATTAAACCTTTTATTTCGTATATTCATATACTATTTTTTAACGCATAAAATCCGTTGTGTATTATATAAACATAATAAAAACGGATATCATTATCGTATATTGTACGACTGTATATAAAACATTAAAATTAAACGATTATCTATTATACTTATACCACTTTTATACTAATTTTACGTTTAATAAATGTTTAATATACCATCATGTGTTTATTGGGTTCATAACAGTTACTATAGAATAGATTGTTAGCTCAATGTTAGCGTATTAGGTTGTTATTCCGGAATCTTAGGTTCGAATCCCGTCTCCCGTCAATATGTTTTCAAAAATTGTATAACAGCGCGTAATTTTAATTAATAAAATAGAATAATATATGCGACACCATGAATACAAATTAAACTATTAGAAATATTAGAAAAAAATAAAAACTATTTGAAAATAAAAAAGAATTTTTTTTCGTTAAAATATTGCACCGGAATCATTACTGATCTTTATCGTAATGGTTACTGTGAATCCGTACTGGTTACTGGGAGAATGTTTACTGTAGTAGTGCGTAATGGTTACTGTAAGAAAGACTGGAAGAGAAGTTGAGAGTGAGCAAAAATACAGTAATTATTACTGTTTTTCAGCTCTCAGTGTATGTTACGAATATCTTTCTATCCGAATAATCCTTTATTTATTATATAAAAAAGATAAAAATAATATAATATTTGTGAAAATAATGGTTAACAGCAACGTGATAATATCGTAGACTTTATATATTTCTTCACAATTTCTATAGCACATAAAAAATGGCTTCCTCTTTCGCAGAAAATAATTCTAATTACCATAAACACGAAATACCATCTGTTGTGAGACGGAAGTCGAGTTGACCTAGATGCGACACAGCTGCCAGCGCAAGTCCGATTATTGCCAAATACATCTTAGGTGGCATTCCGGGCATCACCCGATTGCCAGCGCGAGTTCTGGCTATTGCCAAATTCATTCCGGGCATCATCCAATCGCCAGGCGATTGACCAAGGCTCGGAAGCAAAAGCGCTGACAGCTGAGTCGACAACGAGGAAGCGACTCCGCGCGATAAAAGATAAAAGGCCCGCCCTTCCGATAAGCGGCGGCCAGTCTGAGATCAGAGCGTATCGCGAGACCACGTGTCGACACTATATCTAACCCGCGAGTCAGGGTAATGAGTGAGAACACCTGTGTAAAAAGACCAATCTGTTTAATTAAACATCTCTGATACAACCACGTAAATCTGTGAGAGTTATTCCTTTTCGCCCTCCTGCATATCCTAAGAACCCGGTGCCGGCCCTGAGGTCCAATTCAAGGCGCGCACGACAAATTGGTGGCAGCGGTGGGATCCTGCCAACCGAACGAAAGGACATCCTGCCAGATTTACGCCTGTAAAAGAGAACGGATCATAAAACGGCGGCAAGGCACCCCGGAGAGGAACAGCCAGCCAGATTCCGAGTGAGTGAAACGTGAAACAACGGTAGCAGCCGCCGAGTGTTATCAGCGACACCGGAGACGGCCCCGACCTACCGCACGGACTCGCCAGCCCGAGCAGCGAAGCAGCGAAGCAGCGTGACACGGTGCACCGAGGCAGCGAAGCGGCCCAGCGGCACAGCGTAGCAGCGGACGTCAGCAGAAAGCAAACACCATGCGCACCGCGTTGTTATTGTAAGTCTGTTTCAACTTATACTAAATTGTGCGAGAAATAGAGAAACGGACCGCGAGCGCCGAAAACAAACTAGAGATACACCCGCAAGCGCCGAAAGAAAACTTCGCGATTACAGGAACTATAACTGCGAGCGCCGAAAGACAATTTCGCGATTACCGGAGATATAACCGCGGACGCTGACAGAAAGCTTCGCGATTACAGGAGATACAAGTGTAAGCGCCGATAGATGTCGGGCAACCTATCCCGGCATCCCCCTGTTAGCAACGCGTCCTTCGTGCTGAGCGAGCGCGCGCAACAAGCGATCGAAAACAGCATCCGAAACCGTTTTTGCGCCGCACGACTTACGAACAACGAATTAGACCGCGTGCGACAAAACTTAGACGCGCAACTTGACGACGATAATACGCCGGTGCTCGAGTTACACCCCAACGTCATAGTGAAACGCGAATTCGAATTTTTAGACGCTAGCCTCTGTAACGCGAACGAAAACCCTCGAGATAATATAGCTAACCAAAGCGGTGACGAAAATAGCTACAATCACGACCGTGACGCACGCATACTGCCCCCGACCGAAGGTGACGCACGATCAGACACCTCGGCCGACACACAAAGCGAAAACTCCGGAAGAGGAGAATTCTCCCTGACTTCGTACGACAGCGAAGTATTTGATCCGACCCAAGAGGATTATACCCCCCAGGCCAACAAGATGAGCCAGCAACGAGCTGCCGCGACCATTGCGCCGCGTGAGGACATATCACCTGCGCAGATTAACGCAGAAATACAGCGGCTCAGACCCGCGGTTAACGGGCGACCGTCCGAAACCGACCAAAGTCGAGCCCCCGAGCCGACGCAAATAAGCCCAGGAGCATTAGACTCCGTGCTCAGCGACGTGCTGCGCATGATGCGCGAATGGACCGTACAGAGGCCGCAGAGTTCGAGCGCTCTGTAGAAGTCCTTCGCGCAATCCACGAGATGCACGAACGCATGAGTCGGCTAGAATCCACCACTTACGATTGCTCCGACGCACGAGAGCGACGCGTTCGCAGCCAGGGCCCGCTGGACGTCATGGCGCGTCACCTACGGGCGAATGCGTAGCGACGTCCATAGTCAGCCAGGGCACCACGTCGGATTCCTTAGCCTAAAGAAAGCCCGTAACATGATTCCCGAAATAAACGGAGAATCTAGAGAACGCGTTCGCGAATTCATTAGCGCAAGCACATACGCGATGAAAAATATACAGCCCACGGACGAAGCAATGCTTTTAGAAACAATACTGTGCACTAAATTTAAGGGCAAAGCCGTGACCGACTTCGACACGCGTGACATTCACGATTTCGAGCAGTTAAAACGCGAACTCAAAACGGAATATCTCGGAAAGCGCGGCATGACCCATCTGCAGCTAAAATTCAACTCCCTTAAACAAAAAACGGGAGAAAACGCGCATGAATTTGGGCGTCGAGTCGAAAAAATAGCGAGAGAACTGTACGAGGCCATGGAGGAAGGCCAAGGACACTCGCAAGAACAGCAAAAAACGATTCTTGACAGCATCAAGACGCAAGCCCTGCAGAATTTTCAAATCGGGCTGCACGACGATATCAAGATGCTGGTCCGAGCACAACAATATCAGAGCCTACAGGAGGCAATAACCGGCGCCACCGCCAAGAAAAAGATTAGAGGGCCCTCCCCGCGGAACGGACTACCGGCAAACAGAAATAAATTTAATCAAGAAAACGCGCGAAATGCGGGAAACGCGACAGTGCGTTGCTACAAGTGTGGAAAGACCGGCCGTTATGGGCGAGATTGCCGTACGAGCCGGCAAACAAATGAATTCTCGCTGCCGAGAGCGGATAAGCCCGGCGGCATAAACACAATAGAGTGCACTTACTGCAAAAAAGCAGGGCACAAGCGAGACGAATGCTAGTCGCTGAACAGACGACCAAAAACGGAGCGACCACGCCGACCAAAAACGGACACCGCAAAGAAAGTGAGCACGGTAAGAAAAAATAAATTGCGAGAAACGAGCGATGAGATTTCCTCCGGCAGCAGCAGCGAGGAGGAAGAGCGACCCAGAAGGAAGGGTAAGGCACGCGCCGCCGAGGAGTATCGAGTGACACAGATAACGGGGAAGCATAAGGTAGGCCCGTTGGACATGATAACTCTGCCGATCCAAGAGGCCAAGAAAGGAAAAATTGATTTACTACTGGACTCAGGCGCGACCCTGACGTTAATTAAAGTAGGTAATTTGAAAGAAAAAACGATGGTGCAAGAAGAAAAATTAGCGCTGATCGGCGTAACCGGACACCAGATCCACACGACTGGAAAAATAAAGGCGACACTGGACCTTGGGAACAAGAAAATACGCCACACTATGTACGTGGTGAAAGATGACTTCCCGATCGAGTACGAAGGGATACTCGGAAACGATTTCCTAACGAGACACAAGGCCGATATCTCCAACACGTCAAAGCAACTGAAAATAGGTAAAACCACATTCAAACTCCGACCCTATCGAAAGGTGACGCCACCGCTCCGCAGCGAAACCATCGTAGAGGCAGTCACCGACCATAACCGAGTAGGCATCGTAAAAAGCGGCGAGCCTGCGCCAGGAGTACTCATTGGTCATTGTCTAGTGAACCCCGTGTGACGTCCTGGGTGATGCGAGGTGACTCGATCCGGCAGAACGTCTCCGTTGATGGGTTCTTTTTCTTGCAGTTAAGGAGGTAAAACCCCAGGATAATTAACTGTTGGTCGGCGATGTGGATTATGGCTTCTTGGATCCGTTGAAGGTAGGTATTCAATAATCTTTATCTTTCTCAGGTTCGTGAGTAACGCTTCGGCGCTTGACGCTCGATATTTATATTAATTTTGGTAAGTATATATATTTGTTAATAATAATATTGATAAAAGTGATGTTAGCGGTGGTAATAATGATTCTAATATTAGGTTAATAATATATCGTGCAGATAGAAATGGTCAGCATTCTCATTAGTACAGAAAATCAATGAAATTAAATTGTTTATATATATAAGGTTTTTATTATTTTTATATCTCGTGAATAGTTGGAAATTTGATAGGAGTATATAGGAAATATATTGTAGGACTTTCATTAAAGTATAATATAACATTGGAAAATTTTATTGTTGATATATGTATTTGTTAATAACAAATTATTTATTAAACAATTTGGTACCTTTTTAATTTACATATTGATATTGTTAAGCTTCCCTTAGTCACACGGTTTTAATTCTATAATGAAATAATTTTTTTATAAGATATTTTATTTTATTGTTATAAATATTTCGTAAATAAACAATTGCAGAAATAAAAGTTATTATTATTTTTACAGAGTTGTTAATGCGGATTCTATATATACATGTGAAATTTATATATATCTGAACGAGTTTTATTATGGGGTGTCGGGACACAATTACAGATATATATTTCTTCGATTAATTAGGTATAGGAGTTGATTAAAAATTATGCTTTATATATTATTTTCAATGGGAAATGTTCAGGTTATCAGTGTATATAAAAAGAGATTTTTTACGATTGTGGTTTATGGGATATTATAATATTAATTCCCATGTCCTGAGAACTACCTGAGGACATGTATATACAACTATGTCACAGGGCAGTTTCGGGTCTTTCGTCTTATACCGGGTGTCTTTACCTTTGGAATTTTTTGTAGCCTCAACCAGAGGAGTGACGGGGTTTTGACTTATACAAAAGTTATTATGCATAACCTGGGGTACATGTTAACGGTTATTATTAGTGTGGTTAATTATTTATTTATAATTGTTTATAAAAATAAGTTGCAAAATTGAACAATCTTGTAGTAAGTATTTTTTCATTAAATCGATCGGTTTTTTGCGATGATTTTGATGACGTAGTTAGTAAAATGGTATTGATATAATTTTAATTGTTTATAACAATCATGTTTGAGAAATGCGAGTAAGATGATTATTATTTTAGCGTGATAATATTCTTTAAGCACAAAAGGTTATGTTCTTATGAATAATCTGCTTTTATTTATTTATTTATTTTTTATTTTAATTTTCTTAGTTTATTCTTATGGAACATGTATTTATTTGTGTGTTGAATTGAATTTATATTACATAAAGGATCTCATAAAGCTTGTAATATTCATTTACGATCAATTTTAGTGATTCTGGGGAGTTTTAACAAGCAATTGTCCAAAAGTTTATAGTGTGATTCATGAAAATGGGGCTTAAGCTTGAAAGGGTACCTTAAGGCAGCCATGTTCTCTAGGCTTGTGTCTACTACTTTAAGAACGCGTGCTCGCATCAGCTGAGTGATTGTTATGACAGTTAAGTTAAGGTGTGATTATTTAGTCTTATATTGTTTTCAGGTGCTGTGCAATATGAATGGATATAGATGAAAATCAAAAAATTTATGCGGCTGGAATGTAGCGGTGATTATACCGTCAGACGTGACACCCGTCGAATTTAAATGCCCGATAAGTGTACTAAACGTGACGGACAAGCCGGTCGAGATACTCACACCACACGTAACATTAGAAGACATGCCGGTGAATGACTCCGCCGACGTGCTCACGTTACACGCGACCGAGGAACGCGAGTCCGTTACCGCACGACACGAGAAATTACGCGAACAATTACAGACCGAGC